CAATTATTGATGTCACGACACTTTCATACCTCATCTTTTAAATTTGCAATGTCATACCTCATCTTACGAATATGTGCCAATGTTATACCTTCCATTAGCATGTCGTTAATTTGTCAGTTAAATGCTAACGTGGCTTGATACAGACCCCACTTTCTATTAAAAAATTAATAAAATAATAAAGAAAGTTCAAAAACAAAACCTTTCGTCCCTTCCACCCCCTCCCCCTTCTCTCTCTCCCCATCTTCATCTTCTTCCCTGCTTAATCTTCAACCAAAAAAAAAAAATTAAATAAATTGAAAACCCATCCCCCTGGGAGAAGAAGGAGAAGGAGAAGAAGATAAAAAATACCCCAACCCAGTTCGTCCCCTCCCCCCCCCCCCCCAAAAAAAAAATCCAACCCCCTGCAACCCAAAAAGAAGAAGAAGGAGGAGGAAGAAGAAGAAAAGAAGGAAAAAAACCCATATCCCGTTCACCAGGCCAATTTGGCAGGTAGAGAACCTGGGTGTAGAGAAAATGGGGGGAATGGATGTGGATTTAAGGAGTGGGGTGTGTAAAGGAGGGAAGAGGGTAGGAGGGAAGAGGGTGGTGTGGAGGTGGGTACGGGGGAAGACAATTGGTTTTTTTTTTTTTTTCAGGGTTGCAGCAGATAGGGGCAAGAAGAGGAAAGGAGATGAAGATGGGGGGAGAAGAGAGAAGGCGCGCCGAGGGGGGGGTGGGGAGTTTTTTTTTTTTTTCTAGGTTGCAGCAGATATGGGGAAGAAGAGGAAAGAATAAGGGTGCGAAGAGGGGAAGTATTGTTATATTAAATGATTTTTTTTTGTTTTTAATAATTTTTTAATAGAAAGTGGGTCCCAAATCAAGTCACGTCAGCATTTAACTGAGAAATTAACAGAAAAACTGACGGAGGTATGACATTGGCACAAATTCGTAAGATGAGGTATGACATTGTCATTTTAAAAAGATGAGGTATGAAAGTGTCGTGAGACCAATAATTAAGGTAGTTTTTTGTACTTTACCCTTTTTTTAAATAGGGATTAGTCGTGGGGCTCATATCACAACGAATTTCAACGATCCGAACCGTCTATTTTTTAAGTTAGACCTCGTAGATCATCCTTACAAAATATTAGCCAATTTGGAAATATGTGAGACATTTAATTGAGTTCAAAAAAATTGACGAACATATTGTTCTATAAGAGACAATGAAATTTCATCGTGATAATTAAATAGGCAAATTATTTCGGATTAAATTGAATTTTTTGCAAGAATGATCTATAAATCGACACTTACAAAATAGACGATTCGGATTATTGGATTTCGACGTAGAGTGGGCCGCACAACTAGTTCCCATTTTTACCCAAAAATGGGGATCCCTTTGGTAAAGGGCTTGTTGGGTTTGATAGCTTGTAATCTTATGTGTAAGTTGATATGAGTATGTAATAAGTTTATAATTACAACATCTGTATATGTGTCACACTGCAATTTTCAAGTAATAAAAAATGGTTCATTATATGTATGTAATCAAGATGCGTTCTACTTCTACAATATAATATCATGATAATAATCACAAAAATGTGTAAACTAAGTAGATAAAAGTATAAATATTCTTAATTAATTATCTAGTTAGGTCATCATTACCAATTTATTGACCAACTTGACGAATCAAACACAAAATCTAGCAAAAGATTAAAAAAAGTAGTAGATGTTTTGTTTGGAATGAACAAGAGTAACAAGACAGCTACAACAAAAGGGTTTTTGCTTGCAAAAGTTAGCTTTCCGAAAGGAAGAAACTACTGTTTGGCTACTCGAAAATGAGTAAGGACTTCTACTCAAAATTTCTCAAAATTATTTATTGTCAATTTATAGAATCTCGTATTTTATAATCAAAACCTTTCATATTATAAATCATTCTATAAAAATCACCTATGCAAAAAATAATTAAAACTAAGGTCGTTTAATCATTAAACTCTTTAAAAACAAATGAACGGTATTGGTAAAAGCATTACACATCGTATATGCATTTGCTACAATAGATTGACTAAACGACCTTAATTTTAATTTTTTTTTCACAAAGATGATCTTTACAATGTAATTCATAATATGAACGGTTCTGATCACAAGCACAACACTTCGTAATTAAAACATTAAAAATCTTAAGTATGAATTCCTACTCATTTTTAAGTAATTAAGTATTGTTCCTCCGAAAATTGTCACACAAATTATTAAGGACCCTGCTGAAAGTGAAAATTTTAAATTAAAAAGGTTAAAAAACTAGCAAAGATGGCCATGATTTTCGCCCAAATTCAAACATATCTGCCAAGTGGGACTCGGGGCAAATGGAGCAGAGAAAAGTAGGACTCAATCAAATCATCGAAAATTAAAAGATGGACATGGGTCCTTGCAAACAGCCCCATAAATGATAAATCTAACAGATCTGGCTTGTATCTTCTTCACAAGGGGCCCTTCTACCAGCAGCTGATGCTGTTGATGATGTTTCTCTGACATCAATACATGGCCAAACTTTAATTTTTTCATTTTTCATGTCCAACTACCTAATATTAATAATAATACAGAAAAAAATTTTACTGCCGATATTTAGTTCATATTATTGATACTATATTTTGATACTTTAAAATGGTTATGAGTAAAATTCTATATGAAAAGCAAAAGAAGACGTGATATCACCTTATTAAGTAACATGACCTAAGTTCCTTGATTTGGGAGAAGGTCCCGGATACGAGTAGTTGCATTGCAGTATCTTTCTGTCCAAGACACGCCCATAGGAGACCCTTCATTAAGGTCTATCAAAATGTGCCCATGTGAGATCTAAATGCTAAGGTCTTGTCTGTGTGTCTTGGGCGGGCAGGTCATGTGACACAATTGTCATACTCAGTACTTCTCCTAGTATTGGCTCTTCAAATCTTTGCTTTTTTTTTTTCTTCTTTTCATTATAAAGGTTTATGGAAACATGTAAAGTGAAAGTACCACTAGTTCACAGTGCCTTTTGTTTCAATATTAGTGATTAGAGGGTTAAAAATGAAAATGATGGTTAGGGTTAAAAATGAAAATGAACGTTTGAAGGCATATCAAGAAGAATGATTGTATGACATAGGTACACCCATCAATGAAATAAAGATAAAATATGTTTAAGTTTTTGTCCACATGTTTTTGTTTTATTGAGAGGGGACGCCACATGCTTGTGTACTCATGTCATGTAAATTGTTCTGCATATCAAGAGGCTATAGTAAAAGTTTTATAATGATGAATTGAAAAGTAGGTCAAAATTTTGGATCATATCACATAATAAGATGATATCTAGGAGTGGACACCAAACAAGCCAATTTGAATTATATTGGTCGGTTTGGTTTATTTTGACCAAGTAAAAAGTAAGACAATTTAAAAATCGAACTGAACCAATTTACTTTTGGTTTGGTTTGGTTTTTATAGTTTTGAAACCAACCAAAACCTGTTAACTTAGGGTTCTTTCCAGCCCCGACATGCCCGAGGAACACAAGCCCAAAAGAAGGCCAAGGCTTGATAAAGGTAGGAGAATGATCATGAGCGATATGGGAGCACATGGCATCCATATTGCCTATTAGCAACTAGGCCGAGCGTTTCCCCATAAAGTACTTTCTGACTGCCGAGATGCAAGTTGATGCACTGACAACTTTACGCACAAGGTCTCAAAAACAAAAGGATTGGCCTATTCAAACATCAACTCCTGGCCACATGGCGGCTATCCAATAGAGCAGAAACCTATGATAGGACATAAAGGCTGATAGTTATGGCGCTTGGGTGTAGGTTGTAAAGTTCTGTGCATGGCAATGTGTGACAATTGGTTTACTTGAGGAACAAATCACTTGATTATTCAGTGATGTGCAATTCGAGTAAATTAAGAGTCCTAGTTAGGTAAGAATTGTGGAGTCTTAAATCATTGCAGCTAATCTAGGAGAATCATCTAGAGGTTTAAATACAAAGATATTACATCATGATTGGACTCAATCAAGGTGATAGGGTTGACTTTCTTAGCTGTTAATAGGCCAGCTAATAAGAAACCCTAATGGTATATAAATACTAGGTTAAGTCCTTGCTTCCATACGTTGAATTTCTCATAATACTAAAACCTATTCATATAGTAGAGGGATATTTTGGAGTATTGGAAGGAGAAGACAACCTAGAGTTCATCAATGGCTTCATCTTCATAATCATGTCTTCCAAATTCTACAGATAAGTTCAATATAATTAGTTGATCTCTATTTCATATTGATTTGATTTATTTGTGATCCTAATGTCTTGTTGTTGTGATTTCAGAATATGTCTTACATAAGTTTCCTCCAACTCTAGAGCCGAGCAAGGTGCTTGATATTCATTGTCCCATGAAAGCATGCAAGTGGGCCTGCGCAAATGCAAAGGTAGTGAAAGACTCGAGCCCAGGGACTTGGGGCTCATTAAGAGCCTATATAAAGAGCACAAGTACTCCTTAGATGGGTTGAATGAATTGAGAGAGAAAATATATTGTGTTGAACCGAACGTTATTTGTAACTCTATATTCAATATATTCAAGAGACTTATGTATGTAGCCTAGTTTTGAGGAGTGAACCACTTAAATTCTGTTGTCAATTTCATTTTAATTATTAATTTATTTGTTTTACAATGTCAACTTATTATAGGTTATTTAAAGGTTTTACCATACACATATTATTAGTTGTAATGACCATTAATAATTAAAATTTCATATGTTTTTTATTCTTTAGTGGATGTTTAGAAAATTAAAACTCTTCAAATATTGAGCTTTTTTTATTAATGTATTCAATAGGCTTTAAACCGACAAAACCAAATCAATTTTCAGTGGCTTAGTTTGATTCAGTTTTAATAATGATATTAGTCAAAACCGAACCGTTTTCTTTTTTCTATGCAATCGAAGTATAAGATATTGTATCAATAATATGGTGAGTATGTCGGTAGTTATCGATATATGGTAAATTGAGAAAGACCACATGACAAGAAACAACGAAAGTACATTAGTCCTTCCATAAACATGAAATTAGCCTCCAACACATTTTATTACACGTACACATGTGATGTGATCATAGTAAAAGCACGAAAACTCAACAGACAATAATTTCTCAAAATATTATAAACAAGTAAATAAAAAGGTTAGGTTTTCCAACCAATTTGTCTGGTAACAAATTGAGAAAACTCATATGTACACTCTTTCTTTCATTCATTACTTCAAATAAAGATCATACATATACAAACAAGTAAATCACAACACACTCTTTCTTTTTTTTTTTTTTTTTTTTTTGATAAATGTTATATAAACAAGGAGACATATATGATCGGATACATGAAAGTTTCTTTCCATAAACCACACATATGACGACTCGATTGGACGTTTTGTGAGAGATTTGCTTGTTCCTTCGATGATATATCTCCACGAGTATACAACACTGCACACATTGATTCCTTAGACCAGCCGTTGGAGAAACCTTCTAGGTAGAGCTAGAAGTTAGTACTTGGTAATTGACAGGGATGGTGGAAATGTTTAATGCAAAGCCAAGTGAAAGAAAAGGATCGTAGGACCTACTCACATTGCAGTTATGGTTCCCACTTCACCAGCTAGGTTCTGGATCTGAGATTCCTGAAGCCTTTGGACCTTATCGAATTAAAACAATTCTTTCATTGACAGACCTGCATGCATATGTCTGTTTTCTCTCTCCCCAAGTCTCTTTCACTTTTAACGTTTTTAGATTTTTCTGTAATTTCATTTGAAATTTAGATCAGTTATATTCCTCTAGTGAAAACGAAATTGGTTTAGAACTCAAGGTATATACAAGTGTGAACTGTTCTATCTTATGTGTTCGAGTCAATGGTAACAGCCAAAGTTTGGTACACTTTATACATGCTGGTCCTGCACAATAGGTTTGAACATGCTACAGAAAGCAACAGAAAATCAAAGAATTAGAAAAAGAACAAACTGATTACGAACTCATAATGTTATTCCAAATCGACTACATAACGTGACAAGAGTACTCTTATCAAACTTAATTCTATTGAGTTACAACATGATATAAACACCTCGTGCATTTTTAGTTACAAGGATAGGAATTGAATCTATTTTGGTTCTTTAGTTTCTAGCGTTTACTGAAAAATAAGTATGAGAATCATTTAACTTCTTAACTTTAATTTCATGTGTTTACTAACACATGTGAATCAGAAAAAAAATGTCTGTTTTCTCTTAAAATCCGTAATCAAATACCTAAAAATTAATTACTCATAGTTGATTTGATTCTCTTTTCTTACTTCCCCTATTTTTAAGTTCTCCCGTTCCTTCCTTGTCTCATTTCTTTTAAGTGAGCATGCCCATAATTCAGAAATAAACAGGAAAGCAATCTAATCAAAACAGAAAATATGAAAGGACCATAATCCTTATCTCACTAGAAAACATTAAGACAAAATATCAAAAGCTCTAACAAACATGCTTAAAAATAAGCCAAGTGGCTAACTAGTCAATTTTCCCAAATTAAATATTTCTACAATTTTGAAACATTGGTTACATATATGCGTGTGTGTGTTGGATAATATACAAAACTAAGCACAGTGATCATGCTTGTATGATGAGTTGATTACACGATCTTAAAAAATTATACAATTTTGAAGCATTGCTCCTGCTTTAGTGTAATGCGGTACTCACAACACAATTGGAACATTTAGACCATGACATTGTATTTTTTAATAATTAAAAGGTTCCTGCCAGATTTATTTTATTTAACATATGCATAAGCTACTAATTTGAAAATCTCATTTGCATTAAACTATGAACGTGCTTTCTTCTTTTATTTGTTTTTGAGTTTTGAAAAGATTGGATGGATCTTTCAAAATTTCGTAAGATAATTTAATATTCAATGATATGGTGGGAGAGAAGGGCATGGCCCGACCTGAGCATCTGCCCTTAATTTTCTACCTACTCTCTTGAATGACAATCACCTACATCATCATGCTTTTTTCATCACCCTTACAATTTCCAAATAATTATCTCTCTCTCTCTCTCTCTCTCTCTCTCTCTCTCTCACATATGGTATCAATCAGGAGCAAACCCTAGCGAGCGGGGATGAGCTGATTATATATGCTTGTATATTATAATCATTTCAATTTTCTTTGCCTAATTGATTGCATATACAGAGAAAGTATATGGATCTAATAGGAAGCATGCAAATTAAAGAATATATATAGCAACAATTAAAAGAAAAATTAGCGCTTAAATCATTCAAAGGTTTCTAATAAAACCCAGAGAGAAACAGATGGGACTAGGAATCAAAGAAGGAAGGGGGATAATTTAGATCAACAACATACCATGAATATATGATGTTGAGTTTAAAGGATAGATGGAGAGAGATGCAAGAGGAGATATTGACGCGGCTCAATCAAAATCGCATGGTTAAGTCTCCGATATTAGCCACGCGTTCAAATTGAGGCGCGTCAATACCTTCGTTATGAATTCACAACTTTCTCCATCAAAACCTGAAATTGAACCGGACTTTTGCCTCTTTCTTCCTCGGTAACTGCTGAAAAACCCAACTGCAGCTCTCTCTCTCTCTCTCTCTCTCTCTCTCTCAAAAGATGCTTTTATAGACAAAAATCAGTTTGATGCATTTATCTCCTTTCTTCTATTTTGACTTATTAGCTAGCTTTTGGCATCTCGCCCACATCACCTGCTGCCTAAAGGGAAGCAAAAGCCGAAGGCTCATAAAACCCACCTGTTCCAACTCGAAACGATTTTTTGTGTTTATGTACGTATGCCAATTTGGCCAAATTTTTTACTCATACATATCCCGAATTTTTATTCTGCTTATCCCTTAACCAGTCAGGGACTCCACGTAGGGCTATTCATTGTTTGTTCTCAAATAGGAGAGATTCTTGCATATAACCAAAATATATTTCGTCAAGTAAATATGGCACTCATTCTGGTGACGAGTGTTGGAAATTTTGAGTAGAAATTTCTTTGTCCCACATTGGCCATTTCCAAAAGGTTTTCTTATTTAATAAGGTTTTGTCCCTTATAGAAAGTGATTAGAGTGATAGGCCTTGGAGACTAAAATTGGGCTCACCCTTGGGGTTAGGCTTTGGAGTGTACTAATTAATAATTAATATATATATATATATAATTAATTAATTAATATTTATCAAAAGATGGGCATTGGCCCTTGGGGCTCTGAGAATTAAATTCTTTAATTAATTATTTTTAATTAATTTTGAATTTAATTAAATTATTTTTGAACAGACTCATCTTTTTAAATGAAGTCTGAAGCCAATGAAAAAAATGCAGAGAGCACAACACTCCTTTGAGAAGATGTCTCCCGACAGATGCATCCCTTCCTCGTACCTATTGCAAACAAGCATAATCATATTATATATACATCCATCTGCATGGCATTTAGAATACACAGAAAATCACCATTCTTCTTCTACAATCATAAACATCATTTCTGAGAGAACCACACAAAAATTCGCCAGAAGTCAATTTTTTCGGTGCTGGAATTCCTGACTTAGATCGTTGAATCCTAATGAAGCAGACGTCCGTAAAACTACAAGCACTGAGTAGGGACAAAATTTCTGTTTCAAGGACATTGCTACACAAGTCTTGATCTTCAAATTTTCTGTTTAATATTATTTCATTGTTCATACTATGTTCAATATTTATTATTTATTAGCATATACAAGTTTATCACAGATTGTTGACATATATCCAACAATGAGTGCTATATTCACAAGAGATATACTCTCAAATACAGCTAAGTATTTGATGTCAAGTAGGAAGAATACTTTCTTGCAAGTGTGTTTGGAAGTGTTTTTAAAATAACTGAAAACATTTTTTGATGAAAGTGATTTATGCAAATGAATCTTGAAAAAACACTTGAAGTGCTTCCAACTGGTAGAAGCACATAACTGGTGCTTCTTCCAAAATGCACTTCAAGTCCTTATAGAATCCAAGAACCCATTCACCAAAAGAGTTTTTAGTCAATTTAAAAGGACTTGCAAACGAGCCGGCATCACACATTTGATGTCAAGGAGGAGAAAAACTTTCTTGCAACTAAGACATTGTCTAATATCATCACATATTTGATAGATGTTGTTCCATGCTTAAAAAGTGTATTACCCATCCAATAAAATGCTTGTCACGTAGTGTTCATGGTTACAAGAAAAAGTGAAACCATTGTAAAGTAGAGGGTAGTTTGAAGTTGCCCTTCTACCATTGATTTTGATTTTTCTTTTACTATTTATTTTTTGTTCTAGTTTTGGTCAAGAGGGAAGAGGGCTGGCCAAGTCTACCGATGCACTCGCCGTGGAATCCCAATTAAGCTGAAAAGAACTCTATGGGATGATCTAGAAGCATATATACAAATTGACAAGAAGAGATCCCTCTAGATCTCTTCCACCAAATCCTAGGAATTCGGAGATTTGGACCCTTGAAATTGGATCCAACGGCTACAATTATTATAGCTTTTAGAGAGGCCCCCTGTTTGTAGCCGTTGCATCAAATTTCAAGGGTCCAGATATCTGGATCCCTAGGATTTGGTGGGAGAGATCCGGAGAGGATCTCTTCCCCAAATTGACCAATCAAAATGGAATTAAGAGATTATAATTTTTGAAAAGAGATCATCTCTAGATCCCTTTCCACCTAGTTCGGGATCCAGGCCGTTGGATTTTGATCCAACAGCTACAGTTATTATAACTTTTAAAAGGCCCTTTGTTTGTAGCCGTTGAATCAAATTTCAACGGCCCAAATCCCAAACTAGGTGGATTTGGTGTAAAGGAATCTGGAGATGATCCATTTCCATAATTATTTGTTACCGACTACTCAATATTGGACGAACTTTTCCAAGGACTTGGTTCCCACTTACCCAATTAAAGTCTTAAAGCTAAATCCAAGTATGTGATGATTTCTGGAGGTAGGTGAGTAGGTACAACCCCAATATATAATGGAAAATGTTGTCCGAGGGTACAAAATTCCCTGCACTTAGCATCATTGTATCCAACTGGTTAGCTAGACAGCAACATGATCCAACTACCTAGATATATATATATGGTTTGGCAATGCTGTTATAGAGAGCATACAGACATTGTTAGGGTAGTTTAAGCAGACTACGCAAATTAGGTTAATTAACTTTGTTCTGTATATATGTACCCAATTCAGCTTCTTGAGTTATTTGTTACAGCATATCTTGGGACAGATTAAACCAGTAAACTGTGATATTGTGTTCTTATCATGCAATCTAAGGATCTTATATGAGAATCAAATTAGAAAATAAGAAACCATTAGAAAGCATGAGAAAATTCTCAAAATTTAAGATTGAATAATATGAAAGATATGACCCTAACACCACTTAAAGTCTACCTCAACCCTGGACTTGCTAGGAATCCTAATAGAAAACAGAATACGATAATATCAAAATATCAAAATTATCATTAAAACTTATAATGGTGTTTTAACCTAGTAAACGTTGAAATTCGGATTAAAAAGGTCATATATGTCACCGCATAGAGAATTGCACTTGCCATGTCATTCTCTTTGGAACGGCATCACATGATCTAAATTGGAGCTTGAATCTGTAAGACTTGTACCTTGCTGCTGAAGTGCATTTGTCCAAGCAAATGATCGATTTATTTGAAAAAAGTTGAGGCTTCACCATAAAACCAAATATGAGGAGTATTCTAATTACTTATAAACACATGCAAAATAATGAGATGTGTGTCAAGACTAGAGCAACCGAAGATACTAAGTCATGTTACGCAATTATATGCATTGCTAGAGCCTTTGCTCTAGAAAGCCAATGCCGCCCAGCGAGCCGGGCAAGGGCCCAGTTAGAGTTGTAGGTGTAGTTTCCACTTTCACTCTCGTGCACACCCTCAGACCTAAGGGGCTAACTCTGCATATAATATTCCTAAGGCACATGCCCTAAGGTTTTTCAGGTTCCTCAATACCTTTATTCCCTCTATTAGAAGTCCACATTACTAAGCTCGGCAAACTAAATCCCAAAGAATTTATTGATTGAGTGTACAAATTAACTACGGATCCGTTTTCAAGTGGGATTATTCATAAGAAGAAATTGGAATGTTTACTGATATTTGTACAGTTAATTAGTGATTAATTGATTTTCTACGCAAATGTTGGGTGCAACCCAAGAAAATTCCGATTGAATACACCTCCCTAAGTTAGATACCCTGCACTACAATGTGTTCCGACGGCAATCTCCCAAAAATAACTGAGCAAATCAAGAACTTAACCAAATGTTTTAGGAGTTTACATCTGCTGATCTGCTGCATTTATGTACAGTGGGCGTTGTGGCGCGTTGGAGTGGACTAAAACTGGACTACTTTTTTGGATTGCACGGCATGGATTGGACTGCTTTGGGGTTTGGTATGTGTCTTGACCCAAGGCCCATCTTCAAGGCCTCAACACTCTAAATTAGCTTCTCAATATATAGCATGCATTGACTACACAAATGCACCATGGGGCATCAACTTTCACAATACACAACCCAGCTAGTTTTCGATTTGGTGGTAATTCTTTTTCAAATGCTAGAAGAAATGTCCTCAACACATTATTGCCCCAACATCGATTCCCAAATCCACGTGACTAAGCTCGGCAAACTAAAGACCACACGCACGCACTTGTTAACTAACCAATATGGGTTTGCATTCATATTTTCTGGGCATGCCGGTTTGCAGTTTTGTCTCCCTTTTTTGATATGATATTTTCTTGGAGAAATTAGGTTCTCATTTCTCTATTTTTTCAACTCCATTGATTGAAACATTATTCCTTTTCAATTTTTAATCAAGGTCCCTTGGTTTTAATAAACATCATTAATTATTTCAATAATAAAATATTTTACATATCAAGATAATTAAATTTTATTTCTAAATTATTCATTTAGTGTTAGAAACATTACATTTGATATATTTATATTTATGGCTAAATTTTGTATTATATATTTTTATTTTTAGTTTGTACCCATTTTAATTTGCAACCCTTTTTGTAAATTGTGCCAATTTTCTATTCAGTTTTAGTTTGTACCCATATATTAATTTATTTTGTGTCCATATTTTTCAAACTTTTATTTGTACTCATATTTTTTTGACCTCTTATTTGTACCCATTTGTCTTTAAAAATGTACCACTTTCCTATATGTAAAATGTACCCTTTATATATATATATATATATATATATGAAATGTACCCAATATATACAACATATCACCTATTTTTGTATAAAATGTATTGTATAAAAATTACCAATTTTTTGTATGTAAAATGTCATTAATATAAGTAATGCCAAATCATGGGTTTTATTTAAGTATATTTTTTTAATATTTTCAACAAATTATGGATTTTATTTAAAATCTCATTAATATAAATAACTACAAATATCAAATTTTAATTTAAAAATTTATAATAACCTACATAGAAATGCATTATTGCATTAATTTTAGGGACTTCAATAAAAAATCGAAAACCAACAAGGTTTCAATCAAAGAACGTTTAAATAGGGACCGCATCCAAAGTCATCCTATTTTCTTTTTTACCTAATCCTTTTCGATTTTTTTGTTTTTTTTTTGGCAACTTGTCTTGCAAGTTCTTACCTTTTGGGTTTTATTTTAGAGAGGTTTGATCCTATGTCCCCCTATTTTTCTTGTATTCTATTTTTCAAGAGGGGTAAGATTTATGCCCCCCTCCTTTTTCTTGTATTTTCTTTTTCAAGAGGGTAAGGTTTATGTACCTCTCTTTAATTTCCTGTATTTTGTTTTTCTTGCTTTTTGAAGGATAATGTTTATGCTCCCTGTAACTCAGTGTAACTTTTTTATATATATCAATAAAATTTCCTCTAAAAAACTAAAAAGAAAACCAGCAAATTATGGGTATGTTTTGTGATGTGAGATTTACTAAATAAAAAGAAACAAAATTATGCATATGATGCCGTCTCAATCTTTGGAAGATTCTCCTCCACCCTTGTAGAGGTAATTGCATCAGTGATTATTCCATCAATAGAAATTGAACTGAAAAGTGAAAAAAAAAAAAAAAAAAAAAAAGGAAGAAAAAGTCTAGTGCCTGTAGCTTTTGCCGTTGGGTGCCGATGCCATAATTGATGTGAGGCAGCGGCCTTCACAAAACACATGGCCAATTGAGTTTGTTCACATGCTCTTCAAAGCTCAAGTGGTGATTATTTTTTTACCACTTTGAAGAGTTCTTAGATGTGCTCATAGATGGGAGCCATATAACTCATTTTTTAGACATGAATGAAGATTAAGAATTTAACGGTTCTAATTATAAAATTTATACAGTAAAAAGACATTATTTTCAAGAAATAGATCATGAGATATGCAAATATTATCCATCGAGTTTTAAGTCTCAACAAAAAAAAAAAAAAAAAAAAAAATTTCAAAAAAAAAAAGGCAAATCCAACCAAAAAATGGGCTGAGAGAACTATGAGGGACATCCTCGAGCCACAAGGAGCCATACATCCTAACCCTAATTCAGATTCTGTCATGTAGCCTGGTCCTTTTTCTTGGAATTTTCTTTTTTAAACTAGTATATATGCCAATATGACAGTGTCACAATCCTCTTGGAATGGAGACTATCCTTGTGGGCAGATACAATCTCTTGCAAAAGAATGCAGGGTTCCCATATACAAACCCTTTCCTTCCTTTTTTGAATAGAAAAGTTTGACAATTATAATGGGAATCAAATCATCATATTCCTCACATGCACGGCAATAACTTTGTATATAGCTCAAGTTTTTAAAGCTATTCTCGCGATGTCTCAAGAGTATTGTTCTCAAATTCTCACCTCTCAATATCGTCAGAATAACGCAATATAATGATTTTTAATTATAGTAGTTAAAATTATTTACTTACACGTTCGAGAATATATGTTTGATTATTTGACAAGTGCGTCATCTAAATGCAATTAAATTACCTAGTAAGTGATGTTGATCGTCTGATACATTATATGATCTTTTTGTTATAATATATGTTAGTAATAATGCATATGTGCTATGCTTACGTAATACATACATACATACACACACACACACACATATATATATATATATTTATATTTATTAAGCGGTTGACGACATAATTTTCTTTCTTCAAAAGAGGTTGACAGAAATTATACTCTTAAATTATAGTATAGGTAAAGGGGTTCTGAAACATTATAAGGATCATCAGCGTGTCCATAAATATTCCTTATGCTCATGTGTAAAGTAGTGGGAGCTCAAGGTCAAGCTCCATTCAGGGCCAGGTTCAATGAATCTGAAAACATTACCTACTTATTTTGTGCTGATTACTATTTAAACCTTGTTCATGGTCAGATAAGACATCACAAAAGAAGAGAGGGTTTAATATCATAGTCATGGTATATATGATCATGGCCTTTGCTGAAGCTTCTCGCTCTCAAACTGCTGCTGCTTATAACTTCCTTTCCTTCTACTTCTTCAACCTCTTTCCTTGAGCTCCATGGTAGGTCTCCTCTCTCCTCTCCTCTCTCTCTCTCTCTCTCCACACACACACACACATACGTGTGATTTACATATTGGTTTTTGTCTGTTAGGCGTTAGTGCACAATCTATATATCTGGATTTTGGTTATTTTCTCTTGTGTTTTATTTGGTCTCGTATTCGGATTGCTCCAATGGAGGAGTAGAATTTTGAACAACCAATCAAGGGAATGTTACTTTGATTAGAAAAATAGTGTTTTCTTAGTTTTGTTATATAAATATTATTGGAGGACATTGATCATTAAGGATTCTGAAAATAATCCTTCGTATTTTCTTGAAACAAAATTAAATTATAGTTGAAGAAAGTTAAGCTTCATTATAAAAACGGAAAGTAGTCCAATTACTTATAAACACGTGCAAGGTTCATTCTTTCCCTGATGTGGGATTGATGCTCTTAACATGACCCTTCACATGTTGTGAATTTTCAAGTCTAACACGTAGACAACACAAATTGGGTGATATGGAGCACGTGTGACCGTTGGGCTTCACATGCCGCACAACCTGCTCTATTAGTATTACCATGTAGAAGTTAAGGTTCCACCCAATTATTTATAAGCTCATACAAGATTTTTTTTTCTTTTCCTGATGTGGAATTGATACTCTGAACAGTCTAATTCCGGTTAAAGGATTTAATAATACACACACACACACACACACACACATATATATATATATTTGTTCCTTTTTGCCATTCATTTTGTAGTTTGTGTAAGATACAATGTTCCAAAGGCTCGTAGAAATTTGACATTGTGATATGCATATCTGGCTTGTTCAGTGGAGCTGAGGATGTCACAGTGTGATTGAATTTGCACAGAAATGGTTGCCCTGTTCGATATCTTAAACCCGATTTCTGGTAGTAGAGTTCTTGTTGACGAGGACTTGAATGGCAGCTTACTGATGAAATGGAACCAGCAAATAGCAATCATGGGCTGCCAAGAAATACTGCACCAATATTATTGGAAATGCCTTCAAGTTCAAGCCATGGAGGTGGCTGCAGTTACTTTGCATTTTCCTCAAGAATTTCTGTCGACTGCAGAATTCAAGCCATGCAATATTATTATGCCACTACTCCTGTTCGGTCATGATGAAAGAGAAGGGACGTGGTGGCCGGAGGAGGTAAATAAGGCCACAGAGTGTGGGCTAAAGATAGGAGACGTCGAAGTCAAACAAAAGTCAAGGCTCCCCCAATTCAATGAGAGTTTTCTCAAGCTAGAGAGCCTATCTGCACCTTGGCTTGTTTTTCCCTTCACTCGTTGGTACCACATTTGCCAGGTAAGATAGTCAAGCTCTGAAACAATGTACTCACTCAACTGCACCCAAATTTAAATTAATTTGTCCATAGTTTAGATTAGATTAAATAGAATACTGCTGGAATAAAAACACCATTAATAATTTGGATTTTTTTTCGATGGATTAATTAATTATTTGGCGTTCTATTTTGTTAATAAAATAGGCTCTGGAAGAATCACGTGTTGAATTGGAAGAAGGGCAGATGGTAAGCACTCATGATCGGGCAAGTTCAAGCCAGATGCTTACACCCTCCTCCTCCAAAAAGGTTCACGCTGATGACGATGATCTGTTCTTTTTGTTGATGATGATTGACGGTCATGATCAATGCCACATGGATCTTCTGGTATGGAAACACTAGGATCTCTCTAACTCTAGGGAGTTTCTAGATTGTTCTACTGAAGAGTTCCCCTTTAAGCAACTTCAAGTCTTTTCTGTTCATGTGTAATAGTGCACTTGAACAGTCTGCCCCTTTTATTTTTCCTAAACTTCGATAAAATAATGGTGGCAGTCCTGCTTTGTATTTTTCCATTTTATTTGCTTTTGTGAGCAACAATAATCTGTTTGATTTTATGCTTTAATTTGTAGATTTTGTATTTCCTATAATTTCCAATATTTAATTAAGCGAGCTAGATGGTTTTCCTTCTGAGTTCTGAACTTCCTAACTTTTTGTATGTTCAACTATATAAAATTTAGGGTGTTAAAAGTTCAACTTTGTGTAATGTTTAGCCTGCGTTTGGTTCGTGGGAAAACGGGCTTTGAGAATGAGAAATCACTTTGGTTAGTCCATGCTCGGCAGCCCGGAAATAAGTTTCATGTCATATAGGTGTTTCCCTCATTTCGGAAATTTGGGTACAAACAACAGGGAAGGCGGAATATGAAACCCTCCATCCTACTTCTGCATGTCAATGAGATTGAAGGGAGCATGCTGCAGCATTGTATTTGTACCACAAATCCTTTTAAATTTATTAATGCCATGAATCAAATTCTGTATGTCTGTAGAGGATATATCAATCAGAAACGTTTCTGATGTGTAGTTTGGTTCAATAGGCCAAAAAATGACGCAAAGGGATGCAAAGCGAAGAGATCCCAAATCGCTTCTTCTGAAGGAAACCCAGAAGAAATTCAAGTTGATCATGCATAATTATGAGCTTCCATTCTTAAAGAAACTTTTTGATTTGGAGGTTAAATGTGTATAACTCTGTGTTTTCTTTCTTTTAAGTGCGAGTTGATGGCTTTTTGAGTTCTGCATTTTTGTGCCTTTCTAGACAAGTTGCAGATATAGAGAAATTTTATGAAAGAAAAAAGAGGAGAAAGGAAAAGGGGTTGTTTCTTTCCTGATGCCTTCAAATAAAAAGGAAGTGTTTTTGTTTACAACTCTTCAAAACACAAAGGTGAAATACACGAGATCTTTTGATCATTTTAGCCAATTGTCTATTTATTAATGTCGTGAATCAAATTTTTTGTCCTTGTGGTTTCTATTAGTCTTTGAGTTCTAGTTTCTGATGATATAGTTGGGAATTAGTGAAAGATTTGCCTGTGCTCATTCCGTTTGAAATGCAGATGACCAAAAAAGCAATGCTGAAATCACGACCAATTAGAGGGCCTTCATAATCATTAAAGCCCATAACCTGAGTCTTAAAATTCACAATTTTAAATCATTCATTCAGGGGAGAAAGGGAAGAGAATCACAAACAGCAAGCCAGCTATCTTGCTGTTGAATCGAATATATGCATTAACCTAATGTTCTTTTCTTCTTCAAGCTTTCTTTTCCTTCGGTACTGGTGGGGGAAACCAAACCCTAAAAGCCAAAGCAGCTACAATTGCTCCAACAAAGGGGCCAATCCAATAAACCAAGAAAAGCTCCCAACTGTTGTGCCAATTGTTCACATAAGCCCACCCAAAGGCATTGGCGGGGTTCATGGAAGGCCCCGTGTACCCATTTCCGGCAACCACCAATCCGAGCGTCGTGACCGAAAGCATCCATATGTTCACAATTGGATTTCTAGGCCCTCTCAGTATAATCACAAGCAAGGCAAAGCAAAGAACACAAGTCATCACCCCCTCAGCTATAACACCAGTATACAAATCCACTTTCAAAGAAGGCCCTTTAAGCATGTGCTTGTACTTTTTTGGCATCACCTGCAAAATTGCCTTGGCACCGCCTACTCCGCCGGCCGCTTGAGCCGGGAACCGAACAGCCATGGAGAGGAGGGAAGTTCCGGGATTGAGGCCGGCGGCGTAGAAACTGGCGGTGGTGGAGGGGTTGAAACTGGCACCACCCAACAACTTGCCAATCAAGCTGAATATTAAAACCACAAGTGTCGAAATTATTGTGGTGATGAAAAGACCTACCAAAGACCTAGCTTGGATGCCAAGAAACGAGGCAATGATGGATGTGAAAACCCCCATGCTGGGTGCACTGAACACCCACATAGAGGTCAAAATTGCATCTCCTGCAGCTGCCTTGATCACCCCCATCTTATCTTTCTTTTGCTCCACTGATTTTTCTCTGTTGAATCTGTTTTGTTTTTTACCTGTATATATTGGTGGTGTGTTCCACCGATGCGGGAGAACAACATGTGAACTATAAATGTCAGCCGTCGATTAAACCTAACAAAGCACTTACGTTTAAATCAGATTGATTGGATTGGTAGAGCCTAGTTAGACAGCACTTGTGGGCATCTTACACCAACCACTTGCCTACCCACCAAAATTATTGGAATACACGAGCAAAACGTTAACGTTTTTAAATTAAGGGTGAGGTGGTTTAGACAGCATATAAATAATTGACCCATTTGGTTTGAATGTTGACAGAATTGTGGACGTACGCAGAGAAAAAGAATATGAATCTTTGATGAAACTGTGCAACCTTAGGAAAATGTGAAGGGAATCTTTCCTCTTTATGGGAATAAAAAAATTAAGGCACGCGATTAGATGCAAATCGCGGCTTCGCCGAATTAACTAGAGTAATATTAATATATACACTTTTTCTACAGTCAAATACGGAAAGTCTTTTACATAATTCACTTTTATTTTATAAGGATTATCGCTTGAATAAAATAAAAAGAATACTTGCTACAATGACGATAGTGATGCTATGATGCTCTTGGATGCCTGGTAAAATAAGTGAACCCATTGATATAGAAAAGTGACTTTCATATGCATTTTTCTCTTTCTATACATTCTACTTATTTGTCTTTCGATTATCTTTTAATTTGTTCAATATGAAAACAGACATCAACATGTGTTTAAAAAGAGAAAAGAATGTGAGAAATCACTCCTCATCGATATAACGGCTACAAACCTCTTTCCGTTAATGAGTATTCTCATTGTACCCTAAATCCATCTCATCATGTACACCATTGGAGCCTATTAGCAAAATATTTTATGCATAGTTCTCCCATTTCTTTCGTTACTAATTAGAAAACCCGTAAAATAACCTAATTCTTAACCTAGTAATCTTTTGGTCATCATAGATCATGAGAAAATTCAGTGATTATAAATTTGATGTAAAACCAAAACGATCGTTGAACATTGTTGTCTTTTTATTTTACCAAATAAATAAAAAAATGATTTGTTAAATGTCCTAAAAATTTGAATTTCTTCACGTAGATATACTTTTAGTGTGTCACGAGTATTTATTTTTAATACTAGTAACGAGATGCTTGTATTAAAAAAATAGCAAACATGAAAAAATAAAATTTGGTTCTACTTATATAATGATATGTAAATTATTTAGTGTACCACCCGTGTTCGGAAAGAATAAAAAATTTCTCTTTCGCGCCACCCTAGGCACGGAACTGTGGACTGATCGGTGACTAGTGACTGCAAAGTCTGAAACAAAACCTGTTTATTTCCATTACATATAGAGACGGGAAGCAACAAGTACAGCTCATAGACGCTCACTCCCTGTTGGCTTACTAAAAATAACCGGCAAACAGCCGAGTGAGGGAGATCTCATCTCGCAGGCAAAAGCACTCTTGTAGAGCCCTCTCAAAAGTGCTCAAAGAAAAAGCAAAAACAGAAAGAAAAAAAGCACTGGAGGTTAAGGGGAGCTTTACACAGAGAGAGATTTAAAGCTCTTTATCTTCTGGGAGGGTTTTATTTTGCATCTCAGTCCCATTTCTCCATTGATTTCTCTCAAACATCCAAATAAGAATATTGGGTTGGGGAGAGAGAGAGAGAGAGAGAGAGATGGGAGTGTACAAAAGCGCTTGTTGTGTGATATTGGTTGCCCTGCTTACTGTGATCTGCACAAGTGGTGAAGATCCCTACAGGTTCTACAACTGGAATGTCACCTATGGTGATATCTACCCCCTTGGAATTAAACAGCAGGTAACCTTATCATTGCTCTCTCTCTCTCTCTCCCTCTGTTGTGGGAATTTTTGGTGCTAATAAAATGAGTTTTGAATGGAAATGCAGGGGATATTGATAAATGGGCAATTTCCAGGGCCGCAGATCGAGTCTGTCACCAATGACAACCTCATCATCAGCGTTTTCAATAGCTTGGATGAACCTTTTCTCATCTCTTGGTTAGTCATCATTCTTCTGTTTCTTTTTTTTTTTTTTTTTAATATATGTGTATTGTGTATTTACTTTTTCCAATCGAAACACTTAGAAATGAGACGTAAGTTAGGCTAGTTGGTCGCTCGGGTAGGTAGTGCCATTCCAGTGGCACTAAGTTTGAATCTCTCTTTTAAACCAGTTTAGAATATCCGCTTTTAGAAAAGAAATGGTATTAAATTTGTCGCCTATTTGGATAGGCACTTTTAGTCACTTTGTTCATGTGGCAAAAAGTGAATAACATGGAAAATGATTGGTCATTCTGTTGTGCATCAATCTCTTAGATCCAACTGTTAAACCCGGATTCTTTAGCGCACATCCAGCTGTTCAATTCAGCAATATCTGACGTTTTTGCGATTTTTTTTCTTGAAAGATTTACTACTTCCCAATCGAGCTTTTCTTGTAACAGTCTCTGGGGTCTTCTGTTGAATTTTTCTTCTTTCCCGTAGTCTAAGTAACTATTTCATTAGCAGAATTCCTAGTTCGACTAACTAACAAGTCCTGCAACTCTTGTTTAGGAATGGAGTACAGCAGAGAAGGAACTCATGGCAGGATGGGGTGTTTGGCACGAATTGCCCCATCCCGCCGGGACAGAACTTCACATACGTTCTTCAAGTCAAGGATCAGATTGGCAGTTACTTCTACTTCCCTTCCCTTGGCCTCCACAAGGCTGCAGGAGGGTTCGGTGGTATCAAAATTGACAGCCGCCCGCGTATCCCAGTACCTTTCCCTCCTCCTGCTGGAGATTTTACTATACTCGCTGGAGACTGGTTCAGTAAAAATCACACTGTAAGTAGCATATAACATTCGCAGTTGCTCACTCGCTACATAATGTGGTGTAAAATTGTGGTCCTTGTAGCGTTACTCGTGATTTATAATCATTAGCGAATACCTAGTAGAAAATTTAGGAATGTGATGTGTTGTTGTTTGATGGGATTGTTTTCAATCCTTACAGGATTTGAAAGCAATTTTAGATGGTGGAAATAATCTTCCCTTCCCCGACGGACTCCTCATCAATGGCCGTGGATCCAATGGGTTTACATTTACAGTTGATCAAGGTAATTAATGAATACAAGCAGCATTTTGATCTC